TTTACAGTGGTGGTGATAGGAACCAAGGGTCGCCATGACTACAACACAAATATAGCCATTTTATTTACTATCCAAACCAACCAGTGAACAAACACACGTCTTCTAAGTTTTTATATTTTTTTTATATTTTTTTTATATTTTATATATTTAGATTGTTGATGATGGTAAAATAGTGGTAATACGTTTTCTTTGGGGATGATTTTGCCTTTCAGCGCTTTGCATGAACCCCTTCACCTTGAATGTATTATTCTTTTTTTAGATCACAACTGGAAAACAATGCATCAGACATCAGACAGTGTTCATAACCATTTTATGTAATGACTTTCTGTGATTCGACTCATCAGCTAATTACACAGAGTTGCCAGGACATTAAGTACACTTACCTTGTACCTACACTCAATGGGCATTTTATCAAGTACATCTATCATATAGGTGCACTTTAAAAGGTCAGTTATTGACTGCAGCCCATCTGTTGCTGCGCAGTTTATCTGCCTTTACCCGATCTATGGAAATAGAGAAGGACCACCATATGGTCATCGCTGACCATCGCTATCATGTCAGTGTCACTGCTGTGCTGAAAAATGTTCACCACCATCAGTGCCAACTTGGGTTAAACACTGTGGAGGCTAAAAAAAAAGAATTTTCAACTTGTGTCGAATTGTGAGTGAATGTATTGAAATTATTAATAAAGTATTACATCTACATTTACGTTATCATACACTTATGTAGTTTTTATATTGGTCTCTTTACATCCATCAAATCTTCTATAAACTTGTGAATCCTCTCATTTTCCATGTAAAAATGGTCTTTTAACCCCTTAAAATCCCAGGCTTATTACATTCTAAGGCTTATTATTCAGCAACTACAGGGACTTCAGTGTAAACTGGCTGAGCTATTCTTAGGTTATAGAAGTGTGTAATACAACTTTGAGCCTGCTGGTGGGCCCTGGCCGTAAAATGGTCAGGATGTAACCTTAAGCTGGTAATCAGCGATGCAACCAAACATGCCACACTCTTCTACCCCTTCTCATACTGTACCTGTGAATCTTTAGGTTGCCTGCTATTCAAAATTCAATGAGGATTCAAGGATCAATATACGTTCATAAGATGGTAGGTTTTTGTCTGCGATCAAATTATCTGCCAGCCATTGTACATTTAGAAAATGCCACCAAAGAACCCTACTTTGTATCAAATTAATTAAATTAATTCATTAATGTTCCATAAAAGTCGAGATGGGCAAATTAAGACTAGGAACATTGTATAATGTTCAAAAAAACATCCTAAACAGGTGAAGCCGTCATGCTCGGATATAAAAGAAGCATCCAGGAAAGGCCGAGTCCTTTGCCAAAAATGCATCAGCAAAAATTCCAACAGTTCACATGGGCTCTGGGAGACTGTGAAAAAACATTGTCCATCGCTGCATCCACAAGTGCAAGTTAAGTGTGTACTGTGCACAGCAGAAGCCATACGTAAACGATGTCCAGAAATGCTGCCACTTTCTCTGGGCTCAATTTACGGGAATAATAGACATTATGTTCTCTGGGTTAAAGAAGTAATAATAATCCAGATTATTCCCAGTGTAAAGTTTAAAATCCAGCATCTGTCATGGTCTGGGGGAGTATTAATGGGTAACCTGCACATCTGTGAAAGCACCATTAATGCTGAACACTTTTAGACAGTGTCTTTTTCAGGGATGTCTGCGCTTATTTCAACATGACAACAGCAAGCCTGCCCCATTGAAAACGTGGGTCTCATTAAGATCAAAACACAACAATAAAGGCCCTGTACGGTTTTCACAGCTGAGGATTTAAGAAGAATGGCAAACATACACTTTCAAAACTGCATCAGTTTGTGTCTTCCGTTCCCAAATGATTATTAGGTGCTGATAAAAGGAAAGGTGATGGAACACCAGTAGCAATTCTTCTTTTTTGGAATGTACTGCAGACATCAAATTTGGAATGAGTGTATATTATTTAAAAAAAAAGGCAAAATATGAAATGTTGTTTTTTTTATACCATCTTAAATTCAATACAGGTCAAACTGAATTTACTAACCACTGCTCTTTGTTTTTATTAGCATTTCACAAACTGTCCCTACTTTTTGGAATTTTGGGGTTGTACATACTGACTCACTGACTTGCTGACTTACATCCTGACTTACATATAGAGCTGGGCAATATGCCAATATGTATTGTTATCATGATAAATTACAACACAATATTTAACAATAAGCTTTTCTAAGCATATTGTTGATATTATTGGAACTTAAAAATCACTTCCTACCTGCATGTTTGATTCCAAAGAGCATAATTAGTCCTGTTTAATTGGACTTACTGCAGCACAGTATGTGAAATGTTAAATACAAATCATTTGATTCATAGTTTTTAATTGTACTGTTTTAAAAGTGACACCACTTTGTGAGGTTCATCTTATCAGATGTCAGAAAAACTAAATATCATGACTTATTGTGGAAACCTTTTGAAGTATAGTGATATTACATTTTTGCTTCTGTCCAGCTCTACTGACATATTCACTTAAAAACGTTCACTGACTTACTGTTTACTTTCCAATTTAATGACTTACAAGCTAACTTATTGACTGATTCACTGAATTTCTGGTTTACCTACTGACTTACACACTGACTTACAGATTTACAGATTTCCTAGATTTACAGATTTACAGATTTCCTAGTCAAGAAAGCAAAAGCACCAAAGAGCAAACTGCTAACTCATATCAGCCAAATTAATAGAGTAAATGAGGTCCAACAATGGGCAAACATAGAGGGACACCTGACTTGGCCTTTTCTTTCTCCTTCTTTATTTTCTTCAACATGAAGCGCGTTGTTTTTCAAATCTGACTAGGAAAAAGAAAATGCCAAATACTTTTCAACAGGCTGAAATATACTTGGCTGGGTGTTAATATACCTGAGCACATCATAAAGTGTAACCTAAGTGTAGGAAACACTGACATGCTGCCTTTCTAGAATATAACAAATGCATCATCAAATATCAGTAAGTTATTTACATTTAACCTCTTTCAGCAGGCCTTCTAATAGCCAGTCCACCCATGAAATGTGCATCTGTGTCAGTATTTTGAATTAATATAATCCAATAAAATGCTTTTCCTCATGATTCTGTAATCAGATTAACTAGGACACTGTTGTCTCTCTGTCTGTAAATGCTGTTGAGCTGCTAATGAGCAATGAGGGGTGGAAGGGGGAGGAGTGAGAACCTCCTGCTGTGGTAACTATTCGCACCTCTCCAAAAAAACATCTGTGCTGAGAGAAAATGGACAGCAACTACAGCTTTCTTCATATAGTAAAATGTAAAAAAGCAGTAAAAAATATTATTTAACACTTCAGACACCAACAGAATTCTAGAATTCTCCACAAGCACCTTTCATACACTGTTGTCATTCAAAGTGCCTTACAAATGAGAAAAGAGTTATTTAAAAAAGTAAAGTAAAGGAGAATAGAAGTTGAAAATATGAATTAAAACATGATTAAAACAATTGATTTAAATTAAATTAGAACAATTAAAAATTACATTAAAAATAAAATGTTAAATTAGGATAAAAAGTGCCGTTACGGATGAAAAGGTGCTAGACCACTAACAGTGTTTAAACTGCACTGAAAGCTGCTCAAATAGGAACTATTTGAGTCTGGATTTAAAAGTGTCCAGTGATGGGGCTCTTCTGATGCTCTCTGGTTCCATTTAGGAGCAGCATAATAGCTAAACATGGCTACTAGAAATACAACTAAAAATGAAGCTAATTCACCGATTTGCTAAACAAGGCTAAGCAAATGTTTTGCATCTTGAACCTACTTCCATGTCTTAGCTGCTGTCTAGCTCAGCTGAAATCCTGTCAGACTGCTCTGTTGCAGTATCTCATAAACAGAACACTGCTGAACGCTGAAGTCTCTGCCTCATTGAGAGGTTCATTGTAAAAAGCAGTGCATAAATGTGTAAAACGTTGTTGAAAACTGGAAAATTTTACTTGACAAATGAAATATCTAACCGTCTACAATGTAATTTGTGTCAATGATGACTGTGTTTTCAGTCAAAATTCACCTCATGGCCATTACAGTAACTACCAGACACGCCTGCTGCTCTCTTATAGGCCGCGCCGAAACCATTGTCCAAGGTGCATCATGCAAAATTGGATAAATGACCCTGCGGCTGTGCTTATCGCTGAGCTCCACCCAGCAAAAATCCACGTACACAACGAAATTGTGTGTTTGAAAGAGCAGGGGTGAATTTCAGTGTGAAAGCAGCTTATAACTTTGTGTTGCGTGCCCAGCATCAGCCTTTAACACAGTAAAATCACTCACATCTTATTGCTTTAATATGTCAGGGCTGCTGCTGTCACAGATCACGGACAGGCTTTATCCTGAATAGAACCTTATAAATGAGCCTTGGTCTGTTTTTAACTGCTGAAGTGCTGAAGGCTGTGGCTGTGTGTAATATGAGCCTTGAGGTCTTTACAATAAAGCAAAAGTGGACACAATGGACAAATCAGTCGAACCACAAATGAACCTTGAGAGGTGGTCTCGGTTTTTTGGGCCACTTAGAGGGGCCTGACTTCGTTTGGCGTGTTCACATATGCACAGTCATTAAAGAAAAAATGCATAGTTCAACTGAGGGAGCTCCAAAACAGGCGGAAATTGCATTTTATGGCTACTGTGAAAAAGGTTTAAACATCACAAGGTCTTCACAAATCAATTGCATGTACACTTAAATGTAATTTTAAAAAGCCACAATACAATCTTCACATATCATCATTTACATTACATGTGCATCATTAAGCAACATATGCCGTCCAGTTGTGTTTCAACCCCGCTGTGATGGAAAATCTGTTTGAAAAGTGACGAAGGCAGGGGTGATTCTCTTTTTACAAACATTGTGAGCTCACAGAGTCAACGGGAAAGGGTGAGCCTTTCCTTGTTTAATCTTAAATGTAGCTCCTACTATAAACACAGGGCATCACGTGCTCAGGGAAGATTTTGAAAAGCAGCCACGCAACATACAGGCGTGTAAAAACAGATGGCCTTGCTTGCTCATAAAAGTCGCTCAGAGTTTATGGCCCTCATTTATTGGTGTTCATTACTTAGGCAGAAGGAACTACCGCATCAAGACTGAAGGTCTGACCAAGACGCTGTTCTGACCGAGAACAACTTACTGCCTAAGAGGAGAAGCAGCGTGAATGAATAACTTACAAACAAAACAAAGAAGGACCGTAGCTGCAATGGATGGATGTGTTAATGGACCTCTTTTGCTGAATGTTGAGTGATGTAGGTGGGGCAGCAGTGACAGAATAGCAAAGACTGGAAAGGCTTCTTTTTGGCATTTCATATTCCTGGCATTAATGTAAGTACATACTCCTTTATAATAGTAAGAATTTACAGTACAGTGAATATAGTCAGAACGATGTTTATATCATGATAAGTGAGATTGTAATATTGTGTCATTGAAACATGCTTTGTCTGTGATGGGACATTAAACCAAGAGTCATTGTACAGCCGGTTATGCCTCCCTGCTTATTAGTTCTAATCATGATGCACACATAATATGTTAACACAGGCATGCTGGAGTAAAGGCTTAGGAAACATGATGGTGTCAATACCACTGTCAAAAGGTTATTTACTGTTCGTTCTCACCAGACAAACTGTACTAAAGTGATAGTTTTAAGCCTGCCCAGTTTAAATAAACTGAAAGTAGCCACAAATATACTTCAGTGAAAATAAAAAGTATCTACCTTTAAATATACCCAAGTGTATAAAAGTAAAAAGTATCACTTTATTTTCAGGAAAACATATTGGGGCTTTATTAAGGTTTATTACTGTAAATGGTTTAATCACTCTGCATTAAACTTTATGCATTATAACTTGTATTTGTATATAATTGGAGGTCTGTTATTTGACATCACTAACCATTGCATGTATTAGGTGTAAAAGTAAACCACAAACATGCTTTTAAGACCTTATTATCCATGAATTATGCTAATTATTCAACATGAATTACTCACTTAAATTCACATTCACACTGTTTATCATGTTATTCAATAGAGTTCAGTCAAAATATGAAGTTATTATATGAATAAGCAAGCAAGCAAGCATAAGCATGCTCCTCAAATGTTTTATTGCTTGCACCTAACTGCAAACACCTAAAACAGCATTCCACAATAAGAAAATCATACCAGCAGCGAAACATGGTGGCGATAGTGTGATCTAATGGGGATGCTTTCCTGCAGGAGAACAAAAATTATTATAAAACACACAATTCTCCCTAAATAATTTCAGTATGTATTAATAATAACTGCAATTAACAATTCTTCTGCCAAGAAGAAGAGTTTGTTTTTGTTGCCAAGCAACCATGGATAGCTGAAAGAGAACATTCATCACCCAACATCATATATTGCAGTCATTTTATGAACCTTATCCCTTTTTGTTATATACTAATGCAAATATCATGACAAAGCACTGTTTAATGCAAATTTATACATAGTTTCCGCTTAACAAATTACCACCGCACCAACAATTTCTCCTCCTACAACAGGGAAGAAATATGGATTCCCACATATGGGAACTAGCAAAATTATAGCCCAACTTCTCTGAAAGTATCTTGTAATCTGCCACCATACCTTAATAGAATTGTAAAGAATAGCGTTTGCTGTAATAATTAGATTAGTACTTTGTTGTCACACATGCTAAAACTCCACACTGAAAATGGAGAACAAGATCAGAAGTTCGCAGAGTTTCACAAGTCAGAATAGTTGTGAAACCGTTCCCAAATAACCCTTGCATAGCAGGCCTAATTGTAAATGCAAGCAGGATCAGATGATTTCTTTCAGATGATGTCTGTAAAGTCTTAAATTTCTGTCTAGGTTTTTTTTTTTGCCATGCATTATAAACCTTGACAGAGTTCGCTTTATGTCTGCATCTGTTCATCTAGACATCCACAGAGGTAGCATCTGCAGGGGTTATAATAGCGGGGGAGAATATTCATCAGAATCTAATTTTAGAAAAGCAAATTACACTTCACAGTTTCATGCTGCCTATTAAGCTCTGCCAGCAGTTTGAGAACCAATTAGAATAAAAGGGGGCTAAGGGGACAACCCTGTCTGGGACCCCTGGCTAGAGGGAAGGGATCAGATCACAGACCATTGGTTATGACACATGCTGAAGGTGAAGAATAATCTGAATCCATTTCAGAAAGATACCTCGTAAACCGAAATGTCTGCAGAGCCTAAAATAGATATCCCATCCTAACCTCAAGAGAGCTTACTCTGCTCTTAAAGACACAGTAATTGCCTTACTTTTCTTCTGGTTAGTTAACATTTAACAGCCTTCTTATATTTAAAGTAGAATGCTATTTTGTTGAAAAACCTGTTTGGTCAAGGTTTATCAAGTCCCATAGCAAGAAACTTTGAGAGAAGTTGAACATCAATTCCAATATATTTCCAACATATCATCGCTGTCCAATGAAAAACATGTATCTCCATTTTTTGCCATTTTTACTTTTCTGCATCATTTGAGCTCAGCAGCTGTCCTTTACATGATGATTGGACCAATAGAAATGCTCCAAAATTGCTTAGAACTTTTTATATTAATTTACACTGAAAGTAAAGAAGGTTTTTGCTGTCTACTGTAAAGTTACTATTTTGGAGATACTTGTTTTTTCATTGGATAGTGACAGTATGCTTTACAATTAATAATATACTAAAGACTTCAATTCAAACTCTGTGGTATTAATTGAGTTGTTCAGCCTTTTAGCTGTCCTTTAGTCTGTCAGTTAGCTGATTAACCCAGTTCTAGCTAAAACAAAACCTGGTTCTTACTTCATCTGTCAGTACACTCGGTTGCAATATAAAGACCTCACAAGCAATTTTTTGTTAAAACTTGAAGAACTATTGCACCCACAAGCTATGGAGAATTCTTCTGTCTGGGGATTTTAACCTGATACCACAACAATTACATACCACATATGTATTGATACCACATCGGACAGTAATGCTACAGAATTCCTTTGACTCTTAGAGACCTTTGACTTCAAATAGCATGCTCAGTTCACAAGCTATAGGCCATATCCTTGATCTGGCAGTCACTAAACTAGGTCACATCACTGATCTGGCAGTCATCTCTGATGTCTTCATATCAGACCATTCAACATACAAGGCAGGAAGGGAGTGTCTAAATGTCATTTTACAATACAGTTGAGATGTTTAAAAATGTTTACAATCGTGATATCTGATCTGTGGTCTGAATGCTAGACTAACGGAAACTCTTGACATTCTTGCACCAGTTAAATGGAGGAAAAACTTGCTTACTCATAAAAATCCACAGGTGAATGAGGAAATATGGCAGCTTAAAAGAAACTGTCATAAAACAGCATTTAAACTGCAGTACATTATAACTGCTGAAGCAAGTTCCTGTGAATTTCTTGATAAGCCACCTAAATCAGTTATGACGTCTTTCTGTGTTATCTATTATCAGGAGCTCACAACTGTTAGAAACATAGTAAGCTTTTGCACATGTGATCTTGACCCTGTTTCTAGCGGTGATGCACGTAATCCTTTTAATTTGGTGTTATTGGATCTTGTTGCAGCTTTCGATACAGTTGATCACAAGATACTATTTCACCGGTAGGCCTCTTAGGTATGGTTTTAGAACAGTTTAAACCATATTTAATGAACAGACAGTTCTTAGTTTCACTGGGAAATCATTCATAAAAAATAGTTTTTGTGGAGTCCCACAAGGTCCAATTTTAGGGCCTTTGCTTTTCACGATATCTATTTTTACAGCTATGCTGATGCAATTGTACATTTCCATAGCTTCTTAAAAATCAAGACTGTTCATGAGCTTACCAGCTGTGTGTCAGATATATCTCAGTGGATATCACAACTAAACCAAGAAGAAACAGCAATACTGATCCTTGGTACTAAAACTCAGAGAAAGCTGCTTTGTGAGCAGATTGGCTCTTTTACTTCATATACCAAACTTGAAGTAGGAAACCTGTGTGTAAATCTTAGACTCTGGGCTCTGTTTTATACTGAATGTCAACGCAATTCACCAAAGTAGCTTTTATCATTTGAGAAATATCACTGAATTCTGCCTTTTCTATTCATGTATTTGTTACAAGCAGAGTTAATTACTGTAATGCTCTTCTTACTACAGAAAGCCACTCATCCTCTAGAACAACAAAAGAGAGCTCATATCAGCCCCGTTTAAAAATTGCACTGATTGCCTGTATCTTATCACACATCTGCATAGATTTTGAAGTTCTGCTATGAATTTCGAAAGCTCTAGCTCAGATTCCACAGCATGTCTGTCTATGTTCCAACATGTGATTTTAGAACTGCAGATCTTGGCCGTCTGCAAACATCTTTCATTAAATACAAACAATGTGATAGACATATTTTGTTGTTCTGCTCCTAAATAGTGTATCATTTTACACATCTAAAGGTGGTTGGATGTTTTAAAAGTAAATATACATAAAATGCATAAAACTAAATTTTCTTTTTCTGTATTTTGAAGGGCTAAATCAGGGGTGCACAACTCCGGTCCTGGTGGGCCGGTGTCCAGCACAGTTTGGAGGTTTCCCAGCTCAAACATACCCACTTAACCTGGCAATTAACAGATAAATGCAATCAGGTGTGTTGGAGCAGGTAAATCACCAAACTGTGCTGGACACTGGCCCTCCAGGACCAGAGTTGTGCATCCCTGAGCTAAATGATAAAATAAGAAGAGAAGTTGACTTTTCTCTTGAAAATATAATTGAGTAAAAATAAAAGCAGTCAAATTCAAGTAAAAATTTTCCAAAAATATACTTAAGTATAGCAACAATTTCATCAGTATTTTCCCCTCCAAAGGCCAGTTGCACTGGGTGCTCTGTACTGTATCTGTTACATGAAGTCCATAGTTCATTGGCCTTAATACAGAGTTTCAGTACTAAAACAGCCTCAGTTAGTCTAAACAGTTTTGTTCCAGTTTGACCTGAATCAAGTAATCAGCTTTCTAATAAAGCAATAAGCCACAATTGACCACCTGTAGCTTACTGCTTTCATAATTTGCTGACAAAATGTAGTATAATAAAATGCACCAATGTTTAATAAATCATTTAATTTATTATTAATAATATTTGCAGTTATGAACTCTTCCATCAAAAAACACAGAGTGTTAACAGTGTGTTATTGTTGCCAAGCAGCATAAGGGCCAAATATTATTCCACAATCACCACAGTGTTTTTTAATAACCTGCCTTATTAACACAGAATTCAATTTGTGCAGTCAGATGTCAATATATTGAGTATTTTACAGTGGCTTTGAACATGACTCAGCTAATCAGATTAGAACTGGAACTACTTCCAATGGATGGTTCTTTGGAGAACCAAAATAAAGTGACACATAGGGTTTGAAAAAATTCCCATGGATGATTCTTTAGAGAACTAAAATAAGATCCCAAAAAGGGTTTCTTTAGTGACGCCATGGAAGAACCACTTTTGGTTCCCTGAGGAACCATGTTTAAAAAAGAGCTCTGTGAGTATGATGAACAATTCAGTTGGTACAGAACCTTTAACATCTTTAAACCTCTAAAAGGCTCTTCATACCCAGAAAATGCTTTTTTCAAACGTTTTTTTTTACAGAACCAAAAGTGGTTCTTCCATGGCACTGCTAAAGAAACCCTTTGTGGGACCTTATTTTGGTTCTCTAAAGAACCATGCACTGGAAATTTTAAAGAACAAAAACTAGTTCTTCTATGACATTGCTAAAGGAACCCTATGTGTCACCTTAGTTTAGTTCTCTGAAGAACCACCCTTTGGAAGCTCTAAGGGAACCAAAACTGGTTCTTTTATGGAATCACTTTGCGAAACCTTATTTTTGATCCTCGAAAGAACCACCCAATTAAAGTTTTCTGGTTCTTCTATGGCATTAAGTAAACAACCTTTTTGGCACCTTCATTTTTAAGATTGTATCTATCTTATAAATACTTTTGGTTTAAGTTCAGGTTCATTTTGTAAATACTGTCTCACTTGGGTTTGCTGGGATCTGAAATAGGGAAAAGCATGGACTGGCTATGGGTCATTAACTTCCAACATAATAAGAATCATCTTTTTCATGCATTTCTCAGAGCTATGGTCTCAGGGCAGGTGATCCTCTCTGTCTACATCCTCACCTTCTTGATTGGCCTGCCAGCAAATGCGCTCGCCTTCTATGCCTTCGTCAAGAAGCTTCGAGAGAAACCCACACCTACTGACATCCTCTTGCTGAACCTGACCATCTCTGACCTCCTGTTCCTCTCCTTCCTGCCCGTGAAGATGTACGAGGCGGCATCGGATATGCGCTGGTTTCTCCCAGGCTACCTGTGCCCCGTCACCACCTTCTTCTTCTTCTCCACCATCTACACCAGCTCTGTCCTGCTGATGGCCGTGAGCGTCGACCGCTATCTGTGCGTGGCGTTCCCCGTCCAATACAAGATCCATCGCAAGGCTCTCTATGGTATCATCTGCAGCGGCTTCATCTGGATCACCACGTCCACCCATCTCTGCTTCGTCTACATCGTGGACCACCTCACCACGGGGGAAAGCCACATCCAGGACTGCTACAACAACTTCACCCAGTCTCAGCTGGACGTGGTGCTGCCCATGCGGCTGGAGCTGTGCCTGGTCCTGTATGTCCTTCCGCTCTTTGTTTGCATCTTCTGTTACACAAGGTTCATTCTCATCCTCCGGAGGACATCCAATCTCAATAAGGGGAAGCGGCGGAGGGCTGTGGGCATGGCGGTGGGCACACTGCTGGTCTTTGTGTTGTGCTTCCTGCCCTACAACATCACACACATTCAGGGATTCATCATCCAGGAAGACGTTTCCTGGAGATCTGAGGCCTTGCTCCTCACCACGGTCAACACGATATTCGACCCCATCACTTTTTATTTCTCCTCAGCCTCTTTCCAAGGAAATCTAAAGGGGCTTCTGAGGCACAAGCCTAAGACCAGTTACCCCGGCATTGGGATAACTAATGTCAGCACTATTCAGAATACAGTGAGGCAAGGTGACCACACTGCAAACATGCAAAACCATCATGCAGGTGCATCGCAATGGCAACAGACAGAGAACTGGCCTTGTCAGGCCATTTGACACTGATAGCAGATCGTCTTCAAAGCTGTTATGTTTTACATTATGGTTAATTTTAAGACCACTACGGGGGAAGGACAGTGAAATGCCATATAAAAATAGTGAGGGAAGTAACTGAGGATGTTTTCCCATCACCGGGTGGTGTCATGCCAAAGAAAATATGGCAAACAAACCCAGACTCTGCTAAAGGAATCCATAAACAAACTGAACACAGACCACTTCTTGTTATAGGACTTAAATCATTCAGCGATGACATGACAGTATCTTATTGGACTCGTCTACCATCCACCATTTTGGCAAGTTTAGTCAGTCCAGGCCGAAGCTCTGGACTCATTTAATACATTTGCAGAGCTGTCTAGCATGTGGATCTACATGGCTACCAGATCAGCAACAGAGAGGAAGCACTGCAGTGAGAGTGCTGATGAACATTCGCTGCAAGCTAATTTTATACTCTTATCATGCAGATTTAATGGTATAAAAGTTTCAAAATTGTTCAGTGAACATCATGTTGTGCATCGGCTAACTAACTCTTCACCAACCCGCTGTTTTCCTACAAAAAGGTAACAGGTTACAAGGTAAAGTAGGCCTAAGCTATGATGTCGCTAGGTTAGTAACATTAGCTGAAGTGAAAAAAGATGCTTAGCATTTGTCTGTTTATCTGAAAGACCATAGATTGAAAGGCCATTAGGTGTAAAACCCAATGACCTAATGAATCTTTGCAGGGTTTAATAAATGGTACACTGTAGGATGCCAAAGGTAAAAATCTTATTATTCTTTTTGAGCTGACTTTTTTTAACATTTAGCTCAGTTTCCACCCATTTAGACAGCGTTAGCATTCAGTGTAGTGGTTTACTAAAAATCATGATTAAAAATTAAACTAATTGTAAATAAGAAATGTAAATGCTAAGTGTGAATGTTACATGAAAATGTAAATATTAAATATAAATGCAAATGTAAATATTTAATATAAATGACCATGTTAAATGTAAATGTTGCAGATTATTCAAATTGTCCACACCTCCTGTGATTATGTCTCACATTTTGCATAGAAAGGCCTGGTTTATTACCTCAGCAGGAACTGGCAGCACTTTCTGTGAAAAGTGTTTGTTTTATGCCTTGACTTGTTCCTTTGGTGTTTTTTTGACAAAGCATTAGTCAAAAAAAAGTACTTAACCATCAAAAAATGTGATATCCCTCATCAGAGAATCATGAACTATATATACATCATATGTCATACACTATATGAGCTGTTTTCACCATAAATGACTCAATAACAGGGTTGAAGTGTGTAACAGGGTGGAGTACAGAGATCATATTCCCGATGAAGCTGATATTAATGCAGTGAAAACATAAGCATACAACATAGAGCAGAAAAGAAAGTTGAAAAATTGTTTTTGTCAAAATATTTTTATTAAAATCTTTGTTTTAAGCGATTTTTATTTAAAATAACTGAAGGTTGTATATATATAACACATAAAAAAGATGATGATGCAAATTCCTGTGCATCAAAATAAATCAAAATGTTCCGTTTTTGACATAGGTTAACTTTTCTTTGTGAATTAAATAAATTATTAGGGAAAAATCTTTCTTTTAACATTAAATTGCCTGGAAATGAACCAAATGACATTGTAATTGTGTTATTGGAAGATTTTAATGAATATTTTCATACAGAAGTTCAATGTCTGTGAGGTAGGGACAGCCCGAAATTACCAATTCAAAGGTGGATACAAACATCTACAAAAGTATTTTGGTAATTTTACGTAATTTTAATAATTTTCTTTTAGGTGAAAGTACAGAATCTTTCACTTTTTGCAGAAACAAATCTAACTGAAGGTTATTTAAACCTCAGGTCAGAAATGTTTTTGTGATACCTAATCAAAAATAACAAATTACATTGTAAATGTAAGGGTCTCCCACACTGTACTCCAAGTTTAAATAAAGGCTGATTGATTGATTGACTGATTGATTGATTGCTAACAAAAATATAAATTAATATATATCAATAACATGATTAGGTTGGTAAGCCCCCAGTAATGTTCAGAAATGGTCAGTATGGTCATTTGTGGTTCAGTTTGTGATGCAATTGATAAATGCATTGTGAAATCAAAGCCGCCCCAGTCTGGCTGATACTTTGCTTTACTGTTAAAGAACCTCAAAGTTCATCCTACAGACACAGCCGCAGTCTTCCACTACTTACATAAACAATCATAAACAATGCGAAGCATTACCTGTGGTGAACACATGACCTCACATGTATTATTACTTATTAAATGGTGACAAAATATAATAAAATACAACAGTGTGCAATAAGTAATTCATTATAACCACATTGAACATTTCTTCCTCCAGGAAAGACAATTCTTTATCATTAGCCTATGTTGCAGGTCACCGTAACAGCCAAAGATGATATCCAGAGCAACAGTAACAGTTTTAAAGGGGCACTCTGACCAAAAAGAAAACATATAAACATAGAGACGAATGTTGTAAACATCCTAGCTTGCCTCCTTCAGTGATGCCACAGTGGTCTACAGAGCAAGATTTTGGGGTTTAAAGATGAGGAAGACCCCCTTTTGATGATGTATCTTGAAGGTGGGAAGAACTTTCGTAAAAGCTGGCAGTACAGCTTGGAAGCCAAAAGTCTAGGGAAGTCTGGGGAGGCCATCAGCTGTGGTAATTTTCTAGATTGTTATCTTGAGATCACAACTTAATTGTCTTGTGATATCGAAATAACAAAAGTTGTTCTCTTGAGATCACACGATAACTAAGTCATGATCTCAAGATAACAACTTTTGTTATCATGAGATACAAGATAATTAGGTCATGATCTGAAGATAAAAATCTCAACAAAGCTGTTATCTTGAGAGCAGAAGATATATATAATTATATATATCTATACATATATAATTAAGTTGTGATCACAAGATATCAACATTTGTTATCTCAAGAGCACAAGAAAACTAAGTCATGATCTCAAGATAACTTTGTTAAGTTTGTTTAGTTAAATTGTGATGTCATGATAACAATCTTTCGTAAAAGTCACATTTGTGTTTATTGACCTCTACATCAGCTGCTACTCCAGCAGTCAGGATTTCTTTGTTGCTTTAAAGGGATTCCCATTGATTGTATGACGTATTTGCCCAATGCATGCTGGGTATTGTAGTGACAGAACACTGTCATACCGGTGAGGGACACAGTGCAGACACAATGTAAAGGACAACAGGCAGTTTCAAATTATGTCAAAAACTGGAAATTGACAAAAAGAGATACAAGGTTTTCTTCCAACAGCAGAGATACATAACAGATTTTAGAGCCTATACAGTGCTTTACAGTACAGTACGAGAGGGCCAAAATGAAAACTGAATTCTCTGAGTTCACTTACACTGCGAACACAAAAAGCCCTGAGGTCAGTTACACCTGGCTATCTTTCAGGTTCACTTAGCATTATTTAAAAAAAGAACAATATGTAAAAACACTCAAAAAGAGGCCCAAAGAGGTCAGAAGGTGAAATAGTTGGTGACAGAACTGCAGGTGCATCAGTGACAAAACCTGCAAGCCTGTTTAAAGGGTCAAAGAGAGACAGTCTGGCAAGTTGTGATGCAAACTCTTCTGGCATCACATGTACTGATAAAATTACAAGTAGCATGAGACAGTGTTCACTGTGAGTCAGGGAGGTGTAGCGTTTCCTGTTGTGAGAGGGATTAAACACTGTCTTAAAATCCATAACAACAAATGCCAAACAAAGACAAACTATCACAGTGGTCGCAAACTCACTGACAGGGATAGACCCCACATAGCATATTGGTAGACTACAAATTTGAAACAGCCCCTTTGTAACCCAGTCTCACCAACGCTTATTTATGGGATCTAAGGCCAGTATTACAGAAACATCTTAACTCTGAAATATTATCTGTTTAGTTACCATGACTTCTTCAGTTAGGAGTGAATTTAGGACAGAAGCTATTATAGAATGAAAACTCCTCACTTTATTATCTTAACCGAAATCCAGATACGATAAAACATGTGATGCCCTAACTTGTTATAAGTGTCAGTTTTAGGCAGCATAGTTCACTATTAGCATAATAATGTTGCATTTATTTACATTGCAGAATGGTGGCTTGACTTGACTTGACTGGCTGGTCACCAGCAAAACCAGCATATGTTGTGTTTTGGATGCTGGTATGCTGGTCAACTGGTTTAGCTGCTGGGTGAGCAGCTAAACCAGCACCAGCCCAGCAATAGTCCAGAATAAACCATCTTAGATTAGCCTGGGAGTCATGCTGGTCTGTGCTTTTTTTTTTTCTCAGCAGGGTGGTAACGCTCTGATAAACAGCAGGGGGCACTCTCACAATATTCTTAACTTAAGTTTACTGCCCATTAGTTTTGTATGGACCTTTTTATATCTGTAATGGTAACTGTGTATCAAATTAACTTACAGTTAACAACATTATTTTGATTACGTGTTTACGTTTTAGCTGTGCAAACATCGGCGGTTGCTAGGTAACAAGCATGACAGTTGATTGTCGACTTCGATTGAGTAGGTTAGTGTTGGTGGTGAATAATGGGGAGACAGAGTTGAACGTTTGGCTGTTTATTAAGAAGAATAATGTTAGCACGGTCGGCTAAAGCGTTATGGAAATGGAAACTGAAACTGGTGAGCGGTGACACTGATAAACAGCAGGGGGCGCTCTCACAATATTCGTAACTTTTATTTTATTGCACTTTAGTTTTGTTTTGACCTTTTTATAACCATAACAGTAGCTGTCTAGCAAACAAATCTTTTTTATTTTTAATGTTGTTTATGTTTCAGCTGTGGGCATATCGTCGGTTGCTAGGAAACAGGCACGAGAGTTGATTGTCGACTTCGATTAAGTAGGTTAAGTTTTCTTGAGATAAGATGTGGTAAGATAAGAAAAAAATTAAGATCAGATTTGCTTTTATAATACTGTACAAATTTGTGAAAAATCTTTTCTTGGCCTGTAAGATCTTTATTTAAAACAAAAAGATTCCGTAAAGTTTCCGTAATTCGGTCCCAGGTGCATAACATGGGGCCTGTCCCACAAAGCACATTCTGCTTAGACAGGATTCTTGACTGCATTGCAGCTTCAAATATAACTGTGGTTAATTTGTTTTATGATGAAGTTTTATAACACTAAGGCTGTTTTGAAAAATAAGCTGCTCTTCCTCATGTTTCACACAATCGGCTCTTCATAATAAACCCCAGGCTTAAGTTTATGAGGAAACAGCCTATCATGGCCTATCATGGCCTATCATGGCCTATTTTTCATAGAAGGAAGTCATACTACATAAGAATGTAGAAACTAAAGACACACACAAGCTGCTTATCCAACTGGGTCATTGCCTATGCCAGTGGTCATTGGGCAGTTGGCAGGAAACA